TTGGGTGGAAATCTTGAACAAACCCAAAACTTCTGGGTTTGGCTTTGATAAGACATGTTACAGGAATAGTTTTTCCCACACCTTTTTTTCCTTTCAATCCCAGCCAAAGCCAGATAGTGCAAAGGTGGTTAATATATATTTAAAAAGAAAAAGTTAACTAAACTTTTTCAAACCACAAAAAATTTATTGGTTTTGATGTGAGATTTGGGCAAAGATTCTGGCAAGTGCTCAGTCCATCTGAACTGATTTGTCCTATCCTAGTAACTGGAATTGTTTATTCTTTAACCTCCATTTGAAAAGGTATGTAACAAACAGACTTCTTAAAAGAAGAAAGGACTTGAAGACCAGAGATCAGCCTGATTTACAATGGAACTGTCTGGTACATGTTATGGCTTGGATTTTCATTAGATCAGCTATGGCTTACGGTAAATTATACTCAGACAGTAAGTGGGAAATGTGTAGTCAGCAAATGGCTAGATAAATGTGCTGAACGTACATGTTACCTCCATGTTAGTCCCAAACCCTGATTAGCTGAGAATGATGTTTTTATTTTGAGACTCAAACTGTGATTTCCAGCATAGTGCTACGTTAAACTGTTGCTACAAATTTTGTCAGGATACAGTGAATATTATATACCTTTTATAATTATTTTAAAAGAAATAAATACACAAGAAAAGAAATAAAAAATAAGGGGAAATGACAAAGAAGGGTTATCCTTTTGTATACAGGACCTGCTTGGCTATGGAGATTGTTCCTAGGCTATAGAGCAGGGGTGGCCAACCTTAGCCTGAGAAGGAGCCAGAATTTATCAATGTACATTGCCAAAGAGCCACAGTAATATGTCAGCAGCCCCCCATCAGCCCACCCGCCGCTCCCAGCGCCTCCCTCCCACTGGTGCCTCCCCCTCCCTCCCGATCAGCTGTTTTGTGGTGTGCAGGAGGCTCTGGGGGGGGGGGAGGAGCAAGGGCATGGCAGGCTCAGGAAAGGGGGCAGGAAGGGGTGGAGTGGGGGCAGGGCCTGTGGCAGAGCCAGGGGTTGAGCAGTGAGCACCCCCTAGCACATTGGAAAGTTGGTGCCTGTAGCTCCAGCCCCGGAGTCGGTGCCTATACAAGGAGCCGCATCTTAACTTCTGAAGAGCTGCATGTGGCTCCGTAACCAGAGGCTGGCCACCCCTGCTATAAAGTCTCTCTTCTAGGCTCAGTTAGCAGTAGTGACCAAAGATAATTGCAGTATGATAGCTCTTTGAGTTGTCTATTTAAAATGAATTGGTGGTCTCAGCCTCGCTCATAGCAAATACTTGCAAATAACATATACATTTGCAAAAACTGGGATTGGCTTGTGAACAATTTGCAGAAAGAAATAGGACAATATTCACAATGAATATCATTTGTAATGAATGATTTGACTATTTCTAATCAACAATTTCTAACGCAGCCAACCTGTGGAACTCATTGCCAGAGGATGTTGTGAAGACCAAAAGTATAACTGGGCTCAAAGAAGAATTAGAGAAGTTCATGGAGATAGGTCCATCAGTGGCAATTAGCCAAGATGGTCAGGGATGCAACCCCAGGTGTCTCTAAACCTCTGACTGCTGGAAGCTGGGACTGGATGACAGGGGATGGATCACTTGATAAATTGCTCATTTCTGTTCATTCCCTCTGAAGCATCTGACATCAGTCACTGTTAGGATATTGGGCTAAACGAACCCTTGGTTTGGCCCAGTATGTCCGTTCTTACGTTCTAATCCACATGCTCATCCATTTCATGATCTAGACACTGAATGTATACTGAAGGTTTTAGCCCTTGTGTACACACACACACACACACACACACACACACACTGCTTTAGCTAGTACACCTAGAGGGAACTGTTACCTCCACATGTAGGACAGGGTAACTCCCCAGGCTCAGATGACAGACAATAAGTTCAGTTTAAGAGCAGCACGGGTTGACAAAAAGAACTGTAACACACTGAAATATATAAAAATATTATTTTAAAAATCCCCACTGATAGATACTATTCCTTAAGCCCAGAAGAGGCCAGGAGTGCTACAAAGGCAGCTGTCTCAGTCTATGGGCAAAGGGAGATAAAATGCCTTATGCTAGTCTCCAGTGGATCTCTGTGCACAACTCAAAGAGCAACAATTGTCTCCACATCACAATGCAACTGGTTCTCAAGAGAGTAGCCAAGTATTGAATGGACCACGGAGACTGAAACACCCACTCACCTGACAGCAAGCATGAAGAATCAAGTCACTGATTAAGAAGGCCATCCCACAAGCTCCTCTTCCTACATACAGTTGCGCCTCCCACAGGGGTGAAGGAATTCACAGCCATGGAGTATAAATTAGGAGAGACAAAATTACCTTGGAAAAGAACTCTAACTACTTCTGAGAGTGTGATTAAAATGTTTAATATACTGTTGCATTGTTAAACACATGCCATTTACCTGAGGCTTAATACTATAGTATTGAAATGCCTAGCCTACTCCCCACCAATTCGTCATCACTGGTAGGCGCCCTTTTGTTCAGAGGTATCTGAAGCATGATGGGAATATGTGTTTTATTTCTGACATAATCCACAATGATCTACATAACTGCAAAATTTGCCAGACAATGAAAGGAGACACCTCTTCTCTATTCTGAGAAGAAGGACAGAAACTGACACTGGGGAATTATATTTTGGTGACATTTTCCTGCTAACCCTTTCAATCAGTTTATAGCCAGGTTCTCTAGTACTGTATTAATTTTAAAACGTTTTCATTGCTAACCCGACGTGAACTACCTCATAAAAATTCAGACTATGTTCTTCTATATAACGAACAAAAACATATCAGATTAATAAAAATAAGCCACAGGAATGTCCTTTCTCAAGTAGTGCATTAACACAGCCTGAGTGTTCCAAAACAGGTTCTGCATTTTCATGTCAACATAACTGTCATTAAATGTGTACTTGCAGCCTGGGAGCTGACAAAGTGGCTGAAAATCTTGCATCCATTGGCAGTTGTTGACAGACATTTTTAGAGGAAAATTCTGCTTTTAGAGCCATATGCCAGATCTTGACTTCTTCTGGTTCTTTCCTTGTAATAGAAAAAACACTGCAGCACACTGAGACATGGTCCTGCTTTGGTGCTGGGCTGGTATTTGGAGACCCTGCTTTAGTTCCCTGCTCTGCCAGAGACTTTTTTTGTGACCTTGGGCAAATCACTCATTGTGCCTCAGATACCCTTCTGTAAATAATATTCCTACTTCTCAAGGATGTTGCCTTTAAGTGCAAGTGCAAAGGCATGTTGCTTAACATTTTCTAAAGCACAGTGTAGCTTCTGTGAATGGTAGAACATTTGAGTCAGTTCTGATGGAAGATTTTTCATACATTTATACAATTTTATTGTACAACAGAGAGGTAAATCTGTTATGGGTCCTCTATAATTAAATAAAAGTTAGCCTGGAGCATCTTATACGTGTGCAAATGATTATTTGTTTGGATTTACTCTATTGCTTTTATCTTTTAAAAAAGAACTCATTTTCTACACAGGGTGAAAAGCTTCTTAATTGTTATCTTCTTCCTCCACCCTCATATCATGAAGGATTCCACTGAAATCTATGATGAAAGACTAAGTTAACTCAGTTAGCTGTTCACTGTAGATTTCACCTGAATTCTCTGTGAGAAGAAAGAGAGAAGTTTTAGGAGGAAACATTTGCAGTTTCTTCACTACAGTGAATTTCTGCGCCTTTTACATGCAATTGAATTACTTGGTACAGCAAGGAGTAATTCTATTCATTCATTGGCAGTGCATCCAGCCTTCCTTGCAGAAGTTTTCTCTTTCCCTCGATATGTAATAGGGCTGAGCTGAGCTGAGCAGCGGGAAATGGGATATAGAGACTTTCATCTGTGTGCAACCAAATCAAATTCAGTCAATGTTAAACATGACAAAGTCACTGCAGTTTGATTATAACACTTGCACTGCCATAAACTGTGCTGTATAAGCTGTGTATAAATCATAGGATCATAAAATGTAGGCTTAGGCAGTGCTAGACTCTTGCATTTGGGGAGGCTGGGTACAAGCTCCCTAGATGTGGAGGGGGCCACCAGCACCCGTACTGTGGCCCTGCCCCTGCTCCGCCCCAAGGCCATGATCCCACTCGGCCTTTTCCCCCCAAGGCCGTGCCCCCACTTTGCCTCTTCCTGCCCCTGCTCCGCCTCTACCCTGAGGCCCCCCCTGCCCACCATTCGCTCCTCTCTGTCCCCTCCCCCAAGGAGGAGAGGAGCAAGTGGCAGGAGGGAGGAGGGGCCTTGGGGGAAGCAGCGGAGGGAGGGTGGAAAGAGGCAAACGAGGGCAGGGCCTTAGGAAGAAGAGGTGGAGCTGGGGTGGGAAAAGATGTCATGTAGGCGGGGCCACAGGGGAAGAGGCCAAGTAGGAGTGGGGCCTCGGTGCAGAGTGGAGGTGGAGCATGGGAGGGGTCTCACATCTTGAGAGCTTTTGGTGGCGGTGCTCCAAAGGCAGTGGGCTGGTGAGCCTCCAAGGTGTGTCACATCTGGCATTTCTTGTCCCTTTTGGAGAGCCCCAAGCCATGAATGTAGGGCTGGACCAGATCTCAAGAAGTCATCAGATCCAGCCCCTGCATTTTGGCAGGACCAGATAAATCTAGACCATCCCTGAAAGGTGTTTGTCCAACTTGTTTTTAAAAGCTTACAATGATAAGGACTCCACAACCTCCCTTGGAAGCCCATTCCAGAGCTTAACTACCCTTCTAGTTAAAATGTTTTTCCTAATCTCTAACCTATATCTCCCTTACTGCAGATTAAGCCCATGGAGGGGTTTGGTCTCTAAAGCTGGCAATCCCCCATTGTTCTCTGGTGCAGCAGCTAATTTTAAAATAATATTTTAATATTTAAAAAATTAAAAATCTCAAATAGAAAAATAGTAAACCAGTATTTTACACAGACAGAACATAAATCAGCCCATTTCATAACTAAAATACCATTTATTTCTCATTGTTAGCAGCCAGGATGATCATGGGACGTTCACAAAGACACAAAGGAAAGGTAAACAAACATAAGTTACTTAAACATTTTAAAAATAATCATAGGGTGTTAATTAAGTGCTTGATTGTCCCACCTTTACTTTCAAAGAAGTTCCAATGAAATCAATGGATTACTCTTGAAAAAGGTACTACTCAATGAAGGAGTGGTAGCACACGGACAAAATATCACATTGGGTGAACGTACATTCTATAATGATTTGCTTTATTCCTGGGGTTTTTTTAGCAAACATACTCTGTCTTTGGGGATTTTTTGCAGTTTTTTTGGGCTCAGATAAATATTGAATGTATTTGCAATATCTGGTTTGGGGTATTTGTATTTTTAGAACTCTGACATCCATGGTCTAGCTCATACTAAGTATATAGGGTTGCCAAGGTGTTAACGTTTCCTTTACACACACATTTTATTTCTCTGACGGAAATATTGATTCAAGTGGAATTAATGGAGAGGTAAAATATTTAACCCTAGTAATGAATTTGTTAATTTAAGAAATCCTTACCAGTCTTCTTATTATCTCAGCCTGGAGGTGGCATTTAATCTCTATTTCTGTGGTTTAGTATGATCGTATATAACTTCTTGGTGAAAGAGACAAGCCATTGAGCTACACAGAGCTCTTCTCCAGGTCTGGGAAAGGTACTCAGCATGTCACAACCAAATACAAGGTGGACCAGATTGTTTAGATTAAGTATTTAACACATATTCTAAGAGAACATTCAAGGTGAAGTGTCCATTAGCACCCCTCAGCCATAGGACAATAAAGGGGGATTAGTGGGTTACAGATTGTTGTAATAAATCATAAATGAAGTGGCCTCAGTGGGAGCAGCAAAGTGGTCTGCAAACTGGTTTCAGAGCTGTGTTATTTCTGATCAGTCCAGATAAATAAGATGTCCTTTCTGTTCACTAAAAAAACTCCTCACTCTACTCCTTCCTTCCAGTAGCTACTGAAAAATGAACTGAAGAGTACACGCTCTGAGAAATAAACAGAAAAGTGGTTTTTCAAGAGACATGATGCCTAATGGCAGCAACAAGAGATATAATAATGTCCTGTTTGAAATCCTTCTCTTTATTTATTTTTATTATATCACTGCTGCCTGGTTTGTCCAGCCTTCCACAGGGAATATTTTGTGTGCCAGAGATACTGGCAGTTTTTAAACAGTGGAAAATTACATGATTCCTGCCCCTGGCTGATCCCCTTTTCCTTGCCACTGAAACATGTACAGGAAGTATTGCGCTGTTCTGTCTATCAGTGTCGTTCTCCTTACAGCAGTGGGGAAATGTCCCTGTAAGAGGGTGGCTTGCCCTGGGGATGGAAAGCCTAGGGCCAGAGAGCCTGGAGCCAAGTCAACCCTGATTGCAGAGTGAGCCCCACCTGAGAGGGAATCAGGTAATTTTGTATAAAGAGCAGAGGTGGCTACAGTAGAGGTAAAGGCCAGGAGGTTTTAGTAAGATTGTAGAGCATGAGAAAGAGGGGTTCCTGTTGGTAAGATTCTGAGGCTAGGGAACTTGCTTGAGCTAGGGGTAGCCTGCTAAAACAGGAAAGACTCTGACCAGACCAAAGGAGTTTGGCCTATACCTAGCTAAAGGCTGGAAGGAAGATTTTTATATTCAGTGTTGAACTTTAAGTGAGTAAATCAGATGCTGCTGTTATTGGACTGAAAAAGCCAGTGTGGAGTTTTTGGGGATCCAAGAAGGGAAGCTGAGGTGAGGGGAAGCATGTGGAGCTGCCTGGGGGCCTTGTGAGCTGACTACTCTACTACAGTCCCTTTGAGTGGACATGCTACAGCAGTGCCTTGCAGCTTTCACCAGTCACCCTGAGAATGTCTGTGCTGATAAGTGAGATAGGAATTGCTAATCCATGTCAGACCTGTGGTTCATCTAGTCCAATATCCTCTTGCCAACAACTCTCACTGGCGGAGGCAGATGTGAGGATTAGAGCTGGTCTGATTGAAAAATATTTTTAAAACAAATGTCTGTAAAATACATCTATTTTTTTTTTACAACATTTTTCAGGGTTTTGTTGTGAACCTGAAAACCCAAAGACAAGATTCCTGGTTGGTATCCAGCTGAAATTTTTCAGTTGCCAAAACCAATACCCAGGATTGTTGTAGCTTTTCACTAAAAATAAAAATTTCTGAAGAAATGCTTTTGATAAAGATGAAAACTTTTCTTTTGCTTTTACGGATATCTTTCACACATTTGCTGACCAGCTGTGGTGAGACACTCTGCGTTAGATGGTTGGTTGGTTTGTTTTTTTAAATACCAGGCCCACAGGGAAAGGAAAGGAAGGATGGGCCAATAGTTAGGCTCTAGCCTAGAATGTGGAAGACCTAGAGTGAAGTTCCTGCTCTGCTACATACTTTGTGACCTTGGGCAAGTCACTTAGCTTCTCTGTGCCTTAGTTCCCCATCTGCAATTGGGGATGGTAGAACTTCCCTACCTCAGTGGTGTTGTGAAGATGAACACCCTAAAGATTGTGAGGTGCACAGATACTACTGTAAGTGGAGGCATAGCTAGGAAAAGCTTCTTTCTAGCCTCCAACAGAGCAGCTGGTATTTGCAGTGGATGACCTCCTGAGGGTGTAGGTACTGCCTGATGTACTATAATTCCCACCAGCTTCAAGTGCTAATCACAGCTCCAATTAGTTTAGTTTAAAAGCATTGATCTATTTTTATCACCTATGTTAGTGAGAAAGTAAACAAAAAATATTAATCAAACAGGTGAGATGGGCTTGTTTAGAACAAACAAATCCAAAGGTAGGTCCAAATGACTGAGTCTCCATTTCTTCCTCCATAATCCCTTTTGGCTTTTGCACATACTATCATTTAAATGACATAGATCCATCACGATGCCAGAGTGCTTTAAAAAGCATACAGTGAAAACAGACTCATGAGCTTTTCACAAAGATTAAAGCCAAGTACTTGAAAATGCACGTGAGCTCAAAGCACAATAGTGTATTTGCAATTGTAAAAACGTATAGCTAGAGCTGGTTGGAACATTTTGATGAAACTTTTTTCATCAAAATATGCTGTTTTGTTGGAAACATGTCCATTCCAATGAAATTTTTGAGGGGAAGGTTTCTGAGATCCAGGGTGGACTCTCTGGTCAGAGAGAGAGATGTGAACTGAAAACCTGGCCTTTTGGATCTGAAAACTGATGTTTCAATACAATTCTACTTTGCAAAAACATTTGAAAGGTTTTGTTTCCATGCCAATATACAACAAAATTCAAAATCTCACAATTTATCATGAAACAGAATTGTTCTCTGGCCAGCTCTACTTACAGCATATTATCTATAAAAGATACAGGTTACCTTTTAAAAAGACGAACGTTTATTTTTTATCTTTTCCTTCTTTAGTTTAAGGCCACATGCACAGGAAGGAACACCTAGCAGGAGCAACAATTTTCCTATCCTGCTAACAGGTCTAACCCTTAGGGCTAAATGGGCAATTCAGTCACTCTACTCCTTCAATCCCAAACTGTAAAACTATTTCACATGCATTATGAAATGATAATGATTTTCACAATCAGCTGGCCCCAAATTGGAACTGGTTGATAGCTTCATAACCCATTATCCACACCCTGAGCTATCTAGTTCTTTGGTTATATGTGTCCTCTTTCATAAAGGTTTAACTTCATCTTTACTAGTGCAGAATGTAAAAGAAAATAATTCTATATAATAAAATAGAAAAGCGAGAATTGGTTATAGTTTAAAGAGACTACAATGATAATCCCTGTAAATTTACTATACCCAAAAAGGGCTGAGATACTAATCCTCATGGAAGATGTGTTGTTTAAACCTTCACCATGAGAATCACAGCTAGATATCTACATATAACAGTTTAGTGACACTCATTGCTATGGCATTCCTTCTGAGCTGTACAGCACGCATACAGAATAGCATCTTCCACCAGGCAATTACAGATGTGTAGATGCTGTAACAACCTCTTCTGAGTTCTGGTTGCTTAGATATCAATATGCTTAACAATATTGCTAACCCATTGCATTGTAACAGATCAATATGGCAGACCAGAGTGTGATAGCTTCACTCATGCTGAGTAGCACCTTATACAGCAAGTCAGTCCATTGATTTCAATGGGATACTTGTGAAGTAAGATATTACGTTCAGTGTGAGGTAGGGACTCTCCGTCTATCTCAGTATCAGCTTCAGGAAACTATACTTGAGAGAGAGATGCGGGAATGTAAAACATGGCATCACCTATGCTGTATTTCTCACATTTCACATGTCCTGGCAAATTATAAATTCAGTTCACGGGACAAGAAAGATTTCTTGCTGTTGTATAACATTGTGCAATGGAAGAGTTGCTTGTGGGGTGGGCGATTCTCCTTCCACTGAAGTATCAGATGTTGGTCCCTGCCAGATACATACCAGCTGTCTAATCTTGTACAGTAAATAGATTCCTGTGTACTTAACACCCCAGATATCAACATAACATTTCATAAGAGGAATCAACATAACACACCCCAAAGAGGTACAAAGACACACCCATTGGTCAGTAATGTACCACCCTGTCTGCCAGAAGCAGGATCTATTCAGAAATTGTTTGCATGCAAATCCAGTAATGGCAAGGAATGAAACCTTCCACTTTCAGTTTATTGTCTAAATCCAGCTAATAAAAGCATAACAAGCAGTACTGACCTTGGGAAAATAGGAGTAAGAATTTCAGAACATCCATGCTGGACTGCACTGATAGATAATTCTGTATACTACAGGGAAGGCAACAGCCTTTCTCTGGAAAACTATTAGCATGTACAGGCACATGGCTGCTTTCTGACATACTGATAATGATCCAGTTCATGGTTATGATTTATGCTTTTGTTGTAAATGGTAAATGGGATAATTGCTCTGATAAATTCTGTGTTAACATAAGAGACTTAACTCTTCTAGTGCTGCTTCTCCCGTTGCAATGCATCATCAGTGCAGCTGCCTGTTTAGCTGCAACGGAGGGCAGCTATAGAATAATGAATATTTTTACTACGTGGCCTAGGGTAACATGCTGCAGTTGAGATAGCTCAACATCTTTCAGGTAATATAGAGCCAAAGCAAAGAGCCACAGCCTTTGCTGTGGCAAATGGGGGAAGTCCCGGATGACTGGAAAAAGGCTAATGTAGTGCCAATCTTTAAAAAAGGGAAGAAGGAGGATCCTGGGAACTACAGGCCAGTCAGCCTCACCTCAGTCCCTGGAAAAATCATGGAGCAGGTCCTCAAAGAATCAATCCTGAAGCACTTACATGAGAGGAAAGTGATCAGGAACAGTCAGCATGGATTCACCAAGGGAAGGTCATGCCTGACTAATCTAATCGCCTTCTATGATGAGATTACTGGTTCTGTGGATGAAGGGAAAGCAGTAGATGTATTGTTTCTTGACTTTAGCAAAGCTTTTGACACGGTCTCCCACAGTATTCTTGTCAGCAAGTTAAAGAAGTATGGGCTGGATGAATGCACTATAAGGTGGGTAGAAAGTTGGCTAGATTGTCGGGCTCAACGGGTAGTGATCAATGGCTCCATGTCTAGTTGGCAGCCGGTGTCAAGTGGAGTGCCCCAGGGGTCGGTCCTGGGGCCGGTTTTGTTCAATATCTTCATAAATGATCTGGAGGATGGTGTGGATTGCACTCTCAGCAAATTTGCGGATGATACTACACTGGGAGAAGTGGTAGATACGCTGGAGGGCAGGGATAGGATACAGAGGGACCTAGACAAATTGGAGGATTGGGCCAAAAGAAATCTGATGAGGTTCAATAAGGATAAGTGCAGGGTCCTGCACTTAGGACGGAAGAACCCAATGCACAGCTACAGACTAGGGACCGAATGGCTAGGCAGCAGTTCTGCGGAAAAGGACCTAGGGGTGACAGTGTACGAGAAGCTGGATATGAGTCAGCAGTGTGCCCTTGTTGCCAAGAAGGCCAATGGCATTTTGGAATGTATAAGTAGGGGCATAGCGAGCAGATCGAGGGACGTGATCGTCCCCCTCTATTCGACATTGGTGAGGCCTCATCTGGAGTACTGTGTCCAGTTTTGGGATGTGGATAAATTGGAGAGAGTCCAGCGAAGGGCAACAAAAATGATTAGGGGTCTGGAACACATGACTTATGAGGAGAGGCTGAGGGAACTGGGATTGTTTAGTCTGCAGAAGAGAAGAAAGAGGGGGGATTTGATAGCTGCTTTCAACTACCTGAGAGGTGGTTCCAGAGAGGATGATTCTAGACTATTCTCAGTGGTAGAAGAGGACAGGACAAGGAGTAATGGTCTCAAGTTGCAGTGGGGGAGGTTTAGGTTGGATATTAGGAAAAACTTTTTCACTAGGAGGGTGGTGAAACACTGGAATGCGTTACCTAGAGAGGTGGTAGAATCTCCTTCCTTAGAAGTTTTTAAGGTCAGGCTTGACAAAGCCCTGGGTGGGATGATTTAATTGGGGATTGGTCCTGCTTTTGAGCAGGGGGTTGGACTAGATGACCTCCTGAGGTCCCTTCCAACCCTGATATTCTATGATTCTATGCTGCATATATAGGGCTAGACCAAAAGGGGTTGTTGAGCAAGGGGTTGTTTGTAGCTGCTGGATCTCAGAAGGAGCCCTGTGAAGGAACTGAGTCTGAGTGATATTTCCTTCCCTGTTCCTCTTTTCTCCTGGAAAGAAGTAACTTACTGTATCTCTCAAAAGAGGGCAGCTCACTTCCCCATTTCCACTGACCCTGCTCCATTTGCCAGTCAGGCATTGGGAGGGGCACAATGAAGGCTCATCACCTTTTCTTGCCCTTCAGTCTCTCCACTGGTTTGTAGGAGGGAGCCTGTAGAGACGATGACCTGACACTGTGCACCACTCCTGGACCCTATTTGGCCAAAGAGGAGATGTGGGAAGACTGACTCTTCCTCACTCCTTTGTATGAATAAGACCAGGGGACAATCTAGCCCATAGGAATTAGATATCACCTTTGCACCTCTTTCATGCCTGTGAAACCTCAGTAAACTTGCCCTAATTGGTAAAGGGCCTGATGCTGCAGTTTACTTACTGTGGTGGACCATATTACCCCTTTAAGGGACATCTTATGGCCAAAACAGCCTGGGTGCAATGAAGGTGCACCCAGCCCCTGTCTGGAAAAGGAAGCTGAGCAAGAAGGGACTAGAGGCCATGCTGGCTGCTATGGGTTGCAGGCCCTAGGACACTAGTCTGGCCTGAGTCTTAAAAACTGTTTTCTGATTATAATTTGATTGGTTTGACTCAAGGCTCTGAGGCAGGGACCTTATGAACTAGATTAAGCTGCTCCTTCCCTGACCTAATGCTTAAGGGAAAGGGAGAAAACCTGTCTGTCTCCTAAAACAATTAGAGAACTAGGAACTCTGCTGGCTGGGGTTGATTTGGACGCCTTCTTAAAGGGGACTGTTTGTTTGTTTTCTGTTAGTTTGGTTTTGGCCTCCCGTCTTCAGATCTGTAAACTCAGACAAAACTCTCATTGACTTCAAAGTGTGCTGGATTCACACAGCTATTCTACCCACTTGTCCTGGTATGTGTGTGTAGTGATGGTGGGTGGGTTGTGAAGCTCACTGTGAGATATCTCATGAAAAAAATAACCTGTTAGAAGAGGTTACAAGATGTTGGGTCAGAATCTGAACTTAGGCTAGTCACAGGAGTTACTCTGGATTGGCACGTGTGTGACTACCCGTAGAATTTAGCTTAGGAAAATGACAATTGAAGACCAATGGTAACGGGTTACCAGAACATACATAGCAAAGTGTTACACAGGGAGAAGGTGGTCGTTGTAATGTGGAAAGAAGTGGCAGTAGCATTCACTAGGTAACAGGAATAGAGCAAGAAGGTATAATTTTAAGCTAAAGAAAGGGATAGTTTGATTAAATACTGTAAAACATAAACCTCTAAGTGTAATCGGACAATAAAACAAGCTGCTAAGGGAAGCTGTTTAATCCCCATCACTGCAAAGATGCAAGGCTAGACTTGACAGTTGGGATGCTTTGAGAAGAATGAAATCAAGCCTACTGTGCAGCCAGCAGGAGGGGTAAACAGTCACCTTCACTTTCCTTTTCACTTCATCTTGACATTCAATGACATGCATATGCTTTAGAGCAGTTAAATAGTGCCTTTCTCATGTTCATTCCTGATTGCATGAATTATGTTTACATTAGGGGCTTTATTTTGACAGTAACAGTGTAGAACTAAATGGCTGCGCAGATATCTAAAAATTGCATAGTAGTTAATTTGGACATCAATTATATTATATACTATACTGACTGAAATTTTTCTGTCCTCTCTTTAGTCACTGAAGCAAAAGGAGAGAGAGAGACAGCAAAAGTAAAAGGATAAACAGAAGAAAACACACAAGCAAGGGTAAGAAGCCAATACTAGAATCTCATCTGGTGTCAGTCAAGCAAATTTTTCTCACATTACCTGAACACACAAACAATTTCAGATTAACTCTGATGAACATTTTTTCAAATACTAAGTAAACAAAAATGTGTGGTGATTGGTGTCTGTACTAAATATGTGTCTCTGTCTATATATAGGATGGCTTCTATGTTTTCATAAATCCACCTACTTTGACTATGAAAATTTACCCTGTGGATAGCAGCAGCAAGATGTTCTAGTAAATAAGAGATTATGGGCTGGATCCTGCTCCCACTGAAGTCAGTGGCAAAACTCTTATTGATGGCAATGGTTTTTAGATCAGGCACCAAGAACATTACACACACAATGAATCCAGTGTCTCTTTCCAGAAAGAGAAGTCATTGTTCTGTGCAAACCACTGTCTAGGGAACTGCAAAGTAGGGACTCAACAAGATACACAGTTATTGTTACCCACAGAGGAAATGCTGCCTCCATGGAGTTAAAATAAGTGTTCGGCACTAACACCATTTCTAGATGCCATGATTTCCACATTAATGGGATGAGGAGTCTGGTGGCAACTTAAAGACTAACAGATTTATTTGGGCATAAACTTTCGTGGGTAAAAAACCCACTTCTTCTGATGCACGAAGAAGTGGGTTTTTTACCCATGAAAGCTTAAGCCCAAATAAATCTGTTAGTCTTTAAGGTGCCACCAGTCTGTATCCACAAAAACAGCAAGGAGTCTAACATGGCTACCCCTCTGATAATTAATAGGATGAAATCTCCAGGTTTTACACAACACTAACATAGCAAAAGAGAGGTTTTTCTTCTAGCTGGTTCCTTTCTTGCATTCAGCACTACAGTATGTAGACTGTAATCAGTCAGTGCACAGGAAAAAATCTGCAACATTTTCAAAATCTAAGAACCCTTTCCCTGACAAGGCAGACAGCTGTGTATGAAACCGGTGAATTACTGCCAGTGTTGGTTATCAACACCCAAGATTCAATAAAGGATTCCAGTGACTCACCGAAGTTCCCATTTTAATAAGCTGATTAGCCAGTTGCCTTAAAACATGACATAAATGTGAGGGGAAATTGTCTTTGATATAACCTAGATGTTACGAGTGTTGCGATTATCCATTCTGCTCATGGTTTCTTTGCTTTTTCAAGCAAGCTCTTTGATAGATGAGGGACTAGAGATTGTTGTCAAGTGGGTTGACCACAGGCCAATTCAGAAAACCAGAAAATCAAGTGAACATGTTCATTCATGACCATATATTGTAGAGATGGGAAAAACCTATTAAGTCATATCTAGTCTGTTACTCTGCTAGTGCGAGATTGTTACTTACACTATATTTGCTAGTGCTTTTTCCAACCTGATTTTCAGAGGCGCTTAGTAATCACAGCTCCCATTGACCTTAGTGGAATCTGCAATTGCCTATTTGTCTCTAATAATGGGGTCTCCTTTACTTTTCTTGGCAATTCTCAGACTTTAAGACCTAGTGTGCAACATCTAAAACTCATAACCTAGGCATACCACCCCCGTAATTTCAATTCTTGCAGTTATAATGGCTGATAATATAGCAGGGATCTGTAACCTTTGGCACACTAGCCGCGGTTCACCGTTCCAGGCCAATGGGGGCTGCGGGAAGTGGTGGCCAGCACATCCCTTGGCCTGCATCGCTTCCCGCAGCCCCCATTAGCCTGGAACGATGAACTGTGGCAAGTGGGAGCTACGATCGGCCGAACCTGTGGACGCTGCAGGTAAACAAACTGTCCTGGCCCGCCAGCAGATTTTCCTGATGGGCCGCGTGCCAAAGGTTGCCAATCCCTGGAATATAGTGTAAACCAGCCTGCGTGCAATATGATTGTAGCCCATGTACCACCAGCAGTACACCTACCAGAATTTGAGAAGAGCTGATATAATAGATTTCACTGTCTGGAAGTCATTCCCAATATTCACCCTTCATCGTTTTCCTTGCCTTAATTTAATCTCCATACTCCTATTTGTACCTGTTGGAAACACCCTAAATAAAGCCTTTCCCTTTTTGATGTTTTACACACCTCAGACACATGTGGGCAGATATCCCCTTACGTGTTGTATTGCCAACCTTACGTGTAGTTGGCTGTACATAGTCATAATACACTTCCAGACAATATAGATAGTTGACACACTATCTCCTTGAAATTGGTCTTATCTGGTGGCCTTCTTGCCAACATCAACAGAGAGACTAAGGTGCAAATGACTCCATGACCTAGAAGTAAGATGGCACTACATGGGTAGGGAAATTTTACAGTGCCCACCCTTGCTATCTCTCTTTTAAGACTAAACAGAGGAAACCTCCTGCATTCCATACTGCCAATCTTCTTTTGTAACCAATTCCCCTTGAAAGCATCATCTAAATCACCAGAAAAGAGATGGGAAAGGGTAGCAATTAGCCTCACTGGGGTGCTTGCCTGCTGCTGAACATTCCATGTGTATCTGGGTAGAATGCACTTTCCTATCAGCTACATCAATTTCAGATTTCAATCTGGATGTACTGTAATGTTTTATGCATGAATTCTGAAATAATCTGGCATGACTAACAGGCTAATCATCTGGATTTGTAATTGTTTTGTGTAGTAAGATTATTCCAATATGTTGAACTCAGGTTTTGTATGAGAACATTGATATCAGACAGATGTAATTGCCTCTGATTGGTGATGCATGGCATGGGAGAGTATAAATAACACAGTCTGCAGTGTATGTGTGATGGCATGACCATCTTGTTCCTTCTAGCTCTTTGATATTGGTTTTTGGGGGTAATTGAAAATAGAGCATGCACTCCACAGGTGTCTCGTCTCTTCATATGCAGGAGACAAGTAATGGATTCTTAACAGAGGTAGGACAAAAACAGAACCTTTTGTCCAATCATCCCTTTACTCCAAACTTTATCTGAACAGCCTCAGGTTTTGGTTATGGTTTGTAAACCTAAACCTGCCTAATGAGGTGTAAACCTAAACCTGCCTAGCCCCTGAAAGGTGACACAAGGGGTTAGCTGCAGAGGGCAAGCAACAGTCCTTGAAAGCAACTGCTTTCTTTGCAAGAACTGCTAGGGTTCCTACCCACCCCAAAGGAGGAAGGAAGTAGTGTGAAGAAGTGGAGTCAGGGTTTGACACACCCCTACGCTAACCAGTAAAGTGGCAAAGCTTGTGGGGGAGTGCACACTGCAGAACTCCAGCTGCAGCATTGTGTTTCATGTTCCCCCAGTGTAGGGTTATGTCTTTAAAGGTATAATAGTGCCTCATCCTGCCTGGAGGAATCACCGCCATAGATGCAAGAACAGTCCAGATTCCATGGCCTCATTATGCCCGTGACGTCTCTGCTGAGCTAGTCAAGGAGTGCCAACTGTGGTAGCGTTCTTTGTGGATTGGGCTCTTCTCCACAGGAAACTGGACCAAGACAACAAAACTCATTTCACAGCATATTAGAAGTCGTGGGCAAGATTCTAGCTGGCACTTCTAAAAGGTGCAGCACCAAACTTGCAGCTCAGGAGGAGGGGGGAGTCTATGGTGGTTTTTAGCTACCTTTGTGCCCTCCAGATCCCGAGGTGCTCCAAGTGCTGATGTTGGAGGATTCCTCTCATAGCCAGAATTAGGGCTTTTAGAACCCTTTTATACTGCTCCCGCCCTTTTACACAGCATAAAGGGGCTGGAGCAAGTATCTCACCCCATATGTGGAAATGGAAAGATAAGGGATTGATGATGGATAAGTGCATCAAGAGAGGCAAGATGCAGAACTGCATCAAGATGGTTATGAGGCTCCATTGTCATGCTGGGAAAAAAATAAGATGTATCTTACAATTTCCCAGCTGTGGAGGCTCCTCGGAGGAAACAGGACAAGCAGCCCCTACCAGGTTCTGAGTTTGGTGTCATCCAGTCTTCGCCCTCTGAGGTAAATTGAGCCTATATGCTCCAGTGCTTAGTGGGCCTGGTCTCTATTCCCAGCTTTGCCACTGTCCCTTCAGTAAGTTGTGTTTCACCTCCCTGTGCCCTAGTTTCCACATCTGTAAAATGGGATAATGATACCTACCTTCCTCTGTAAATCACCTGAGATCTATGAGTGTTGAGTTTCAGAAGTTTTATAGAGGATTCGGTATTGCCTTGCTACTTTCCGATGTCACCAGCCTTTCCAGATGACTTGAATGGGGTCAGGTGAGAAGAGGTTTTTGCCCTTACTGTACAATATCTCCTAAATTTGCTCTCTCCACAATTAATAATATTTTCAAAGAATTCCAACAGATGAAATAAGCAGTCAAATAAATTTGGGGAATGGATGATTAACAATGGGACAGCATTAGGTGACAACACTAAAAAAATCAGAAAAGAATCTAATGACAGTATAATTTGGTTAATTACTTAGCAAAGTTACCTTTCCCAGGAACACTTCCTCCACCTTGTTGGAAAAAAAAGTTTTTGTTTAAAAATCACTGTAAGATCATGGGCTTGCACTGAAATCATATCCCTATGAGCCTCCAGCCTTTCATAATAATTTATTTTGCACGACACCTCTGGAATATAACATTATGTCACTTAATAAATATGATTACAGTGAAAAGCTTCTTCTTGTGAGCTGAAGTGGTTGTCAGAAGTGTTCACCAGGCTGTTCCTATGGTTCTCCAGATTAAAGAGTCTTTTTATTGTGTGTGTAATGATTTACATGCTAATCCATTTCACGATCCATACATTGATTTGGAAGTTCTTAGTCCTTGTCTAAACACATACACAAAAATATTGTTTTAACTACTATACCCAGAGGGAACTGTTACCTCCACATGTAGCACAGGATAACTCCCCAGGCTCAGATGACAGACAGTAAATTCAGTTTAAGTGCAGGACAGCTGACAAAAAACTGTAACATGTTGAAATACGTAAAAATATGTTTTAAAACATCCACACTGCAGAGATATTATTCCTTAATCCCAGCAGAGGCAAGGTATGCTGCAAAGGCAGCTGACTCAGTCT